CCTCGAGTGCTGGCACAGGGGGATTAACCAGAGATTAACTCCCAAGGAGCCCAAGGATGTATTTTCTGAGCAGCTGGGGCTTGGGGCTGGGAACGTGATGCTTGGCTGGGCATAGTGTGGGCAGAAGGACCAGGAAAGCTTTACAGAAATGGCAGTGACTCGTTCCCTGGCTCCTCTCTCCTGGGGTAAATTAGGATGAGGGAAAGTGTTGGCATGAGCTGTGCAGCCCGGTGGTGGGCCCTTTGCAGCAGGGCCCCAGAGCTGCACAGCCCTGCCTGCGGCAGTGCTGCGGGACGTGGACTGAGTCTTTGGGCTGGGGCCCGTGGGCCAGTCTTGAATGAAGGGGGAAGGGCAATAATCTGGAAATGATGCCCTGGACGTCTTGAGGTGAAATCTTAGAATTCATGATGTCCCCCTTTAAGGCTGGGCTGAAACGATGTGTTTGCATGGTGCAGCGGGTGGCTGGTGAGTAGTGCCAGCACCACGGGCTGACTCATGAGCCGTGATGCTGGGAGCAAAAGAAATGCTGGTTGAACTGTGGCTCAAGCCTTGGGTGGTTTTTTCTCTCCGCTCTGCGTTACACCGAGCGTGACCCTCCACGCAGCATGTGCTCACTCTATGCTGTATCATTTCTGCTTGCTGATGGGGACAGTTCGGTGCTTCTCAGCATGGCACCTGTATCTGATATATGACATATGCTGGGGTTCGATAACATTTTGCTCAAAAATGGTCTTTACTGTTATTTGTAAGTGCTTTGAGATCTTCCTAAGGAAGGATCTGTTTCAGTACAGGGTGCTATTAAATTCCAGTACATGTAATAAAGCGAATATTGCTGAGAAAATTAAGGGGCGAAGGGATATGTCCTCTTATAGGCCATAACCATCTTGGATAACTGCAGCTCAGGTGTGAAGGCTTTATCTAAAAACAGGGAGTGGGATGTTATTACAAACTGGAGTAAACAACATGTTCAAGGAAATTGAATTATGAATTAAATAAACTGGATGGCTTAGAAAACTGCAGACAACAATCAAATCAAAATACCCATGCTACCAATGTGCCAGTGAAATCTGAACAGGATAAACTTTACCAGTCTCTTTGGGAGCAGCAGCCAGAGAACAGCAGCATGCTTTTATCTGCAGGGGAAAGAGAGCCATGCCTGACCCCAGCGAGCCCCTTTAGTCAGAGTGGAAATATTAAAATAATGAGAGGCTGTTGATCAGCAGCACAGAAAGGGGAGGGGGGGGGTGTCTTGGAAGGGCTGAAAAAAACATTTCTCTGAGTCACTGCAGGGAGAGAAATGAGCACAGACAGCAGGTTGAGGAGGGAAGATTTGGGCTGCTGTTTTCTGAAGCGAGTGGTCTGTGTAGCCCCCGTGAGGCCACGGGGCCGGGTGGGCAGTGGTGCTTCTCGTAAGGGGCTTGAGGGGGAGGCTGGACCACAGATGGGCTGAGGCCCTTTCCAACCCCAGTGATCCTGCAGTCCTGGGACTTGCTGCCGCTGCTTGGCTCTGTCACTAGTGGGTCAGGGAGCAGCTATGGCATCAGTCTTGTTGCAGTCCATTGATCCTCAAGCAATTTGGGAACTGCCGGGGGTTGGGAAGGTTGCAAAGGTGGCTTGGTCTTTTGCCCAAGAGCAGCAGTAAACCTTTTAAAATGGGAAATAAAGCGCATGCAATCTGAGATGGTGCTCACAGTCATGCTGACTAAGTAAGATCATAAACTCTGCAAGCCAAGCTTAGCTTTATTTACAGTTTCAGTCACCAGCTGCCTTGCTTCAAATGGGAGCATATGCGAAGGCAGGTCCTATATTCCCTAAAGACATCCCTTTGGGACTGGGGTCCCACACAGCCCAGTGTGTACTCCATGAGTGTTGTGTTGGGCAGAGCCGGCAGCGGAGCACGGAGCCCACAGACCCCATGCTGGTCTCTGCTACATGGTCAAGGGTATCACTGGGTTTTAGAAATGAGCCACTTCATAAGCCACAGAGGTAATGAAGCTTGGTGTCTTGATATTTGGCTTCTAGCATGGCTGGTAAAGCACCAGTTCTTTTCCTGCCCCTGGGATATTTCTCATGTCTCTTGCTTGTGTGATTTATCTGATATTTAACACTGGTTAACTCTTCCTCCCTGTAGCTTTCCGCTCAGTGGGGATGCTGAGTTCCTGTCCTTTTCCTGTTCCCTGACTGTTGTGAAATTCATAGGTAGTTGATATCCTTGAGGTTTCTACCAACAGCCAAACTTGGTTGCAACTTGTCAGCTGGGTCCAACGTTATGACAAGTGTGAGGTAGGCAGCTTGATGGCAGGTCTTGTTATCTTGACAAATTGAACTACAAGGGCTCCAAAACCCATGAGAGGGTGTGATTTGAGCTTGAATTTGATGAAACACCAAAGCTCCAGCAATGAACAGCAAAATAAAAAGCAAACTTAACAAAACATTTCACTCCAGTCTGTGCAAAGATGCTTAAATTCTTGATGCAAAGGTATCAGGGGGTCCAGCTCACCTCAGTGCCTTGCTGTGCCTAAAAAGTAGGTGGAAAGTGAAGACTATGCCCTTACTGCCCACAAGCACAGTGATGCTTTAGGAATCAATTATAAAAAGGGCTTTGATTTTTTTTTTTAATAATCTTTTTGAAATGCAAAAATGAACTAATACCCTGCTCTCTAAACTCCCCATGCAGCTTCTCCAAAAAGAGTAAAATACACCGAAGTCAATTACTTTTTCAACATCTCAGTGCCTTGAACTAGCTGTCCCAGTCCTACCTCATCATCTGTCCCTTCCCATTCTACAAATCGGAGATTAGATCTGACTTCCTGTGAAATTGTTAGCAGGTTTTCCATGGAATGATGAGAAGGTGGTGGGGCGGAACATTAGCTGAGTTGCTTGCAGGGCAGTCAGGGAGAGCAGCATCACCAAATCTAGCCCTAGCAGCGCTTTGCTTTCTCTCCCTGCAGACTGCACTGCTGGGTCTTCCAGCAGTGGGCAGGGAGAGGATTCTTTCTGTGCATCTGTCCCTTGACCTAAAACCAGAATTTCCTCCAGGAAATCACATCTAATGGGATCGTATCATCCCTTCGTAAGGCCCACCAGCCTAGGAGGAAGGAGGAGAGGTAAATACAAAACAAAACCCCTCCCCACAAGATTGCTCTTTGGCCAATATTGAAGAAGAAAGGCAGAACTGTGCATTGATGAGGGTGGCCTGAGCAACAGGGGTGGTTGGGCAGGTGCTGCCCAGCTGACCATTGCCTCAGGACATGAGGTCTTGGCTGATAGGAAAAGGTATGATTCAGAGTTATCAAAACCCCTATGGTGTTTTCCATTGTCTTTGGTGGTTCTCAGAGGGGATTCTGGGGCAAGGTTGGTGTTTGTCCGAGGGCTCATCAGCACTGCTACTCCGTAGAAGGAGGGTATAGCCAAATGGAGACTTTTCTCATTAAAACTGTCCCAGTAATTCTTTTCTTCTGCCTTTTTTTTCCTGACTAGCTTCTCTTTTGTCTCTAGAACGTGGCTACCCTTCAGCATTGGTTGAATGATTGTCTTATCTCTATTTTATAAACCCCTTAGGAAGAAAGATCTTAGAAAACAGAGGATTTAATTAATAATCTTTGTCATTGTTTCATTCCTCACTGTTCATTCCAATCTCTGCAGAAGGCAGTGGCAGTGGTTGCATCAGTGACTGCGCACAGCTAGGCTTTCAGATCAAATTTGGCATTGACAAATGTCAGCCTCAGAGCACTGGGACATGTTATTGACAGTGAGAGCAAGGCGGAGTTCAAAGGCACCTCGTGGGACTAACAGTGTTCTTGTATTTTCTTTTAGGAGCTGTCTTTTGCAAACAACTCTGTTTATTTCTAGTACTTCTCTCCTCCCCAGTTAATTTTCTTTTAAATTTTGGAGCCTTTAAATTAGGTCTTGGAGAGAAGGGCCACCACCAGAAGCTGTCTGTACATGTGCCCACCCAGTGGGAGACCAGGCTTGCCCAAATCAAGTCTGTCTCCTCTGCTAGCTTGCTCTCCCTCCCTTCAGCTCTCATAGAAAGTGTTCATCCAGTCTCTTGCTGCCAGGAAGCTCTGGAGAGTCACAGGATTCTGCAGATCTGTCCAAGAAAGAGATGATGATGAACAGCAAGTTGTCCATGAGCCAGCAATGTGCCCTCGTGGCCAGGAAGGCCAAAGGTATCTTGGGATGGTGTGGCCAGCAGGTCGAGGGAGGTTATCCTCCCCCTCTACTCTGCCCTGGTGAGGCCACATCTGAAGTGCTGTGTCCAGTTCTGGGCTCCCCAGTTCAAGACAGACAAGGAACTACTGGAGAGAGTCCAGTGGAGGGCAACAAAGATGACGAGGGGACTGGACCACCTCTCTTATGAGGAAAGGCTAAGAGAACTGGGTCTGTTCGGCCTGGAGAAGAGATGACTGAGAGGAGATCTGATCAATGCTTATAAATGCCTAAGGGTGGATGTCAAGAGGATGGGGCCAAACTCTTTTCAGTGGTGCCCAGTGACAGGTTAAGGGGCAATGGGCACAAACTGAAACACATGAAATTCCATCTGAATATGAGGAAAAACTTCTTCACTTTGAGGGTGACAGAGCACTGGAACAGGCTGCCCAGAGAGGCTGTGGAGTCTCCTTCTCTAGAGATATTCAAAACCCACCTAGATGCAATCCTGTGCAACTTGTTGTAGGTGACGCTGCTTTGCCAGGAAGGTTGGACCATTCTGTGATTCTGTGTGATGAAGAGCTATGGGTTTGCAAGGCTCCTGGTACATCCCTGCCCTTTGGCACTCTTAGCACCCTCCGGGTGCCTCACTGAGCACTGTAATTCCTGGTACTGTATAACCTGCCCCTAGAAAAGGCTTGTCTAAATACTGGATATTGCTGACCTCCTGATCACTGGCCTTTCTGCTGGTTATGGCCACCCCTGAGGCTCTGCCTCTTCGCATCCGTGCAGTGTCTGCACTCTGTGCTGGCCTTGTCTTCTCACCTATGTTTACATCTCCCTTGCAGGTCTGGATGGATGCAGGCACTCAAATCTTCTTTTCGTATGCAATTTGTCTGGGATGCCTGACAGCTCTGGGCAGCTATAACAAATACCATAACAACTGCTACAGGTAACTGGAGCACGGCTCTGCTGTCTAGAGCCTTCCCCTCCCTGAACATCAGTGTACGTATGATGGTGAGCTGCTGGAGGCTACTGGCCTTTTGAAGTGTCATGTTTTCTGTTTCTACTCAAGGTGTAAGAAAACTCTTTCCAGGTGTTTTCTCCCCAAATCCAGCTCTCTGTGCTTTCTACCCAAGGGAACTTTCTGTGCCATGGATTGTAAAACCCTCTTCCACACCAGCTGAGACCAAGCAAAGTCAGATCCTCTTCACTAGCTTTGTGACACCAGCCCAGCCTCCCCTATTATATGGGTGTATGAGTGGCCATCGGGAAAGCAGAGCTGTGAGATCTAATGGCTCTAGACTGGAGTCCTTTCGTCTTGTGATTTATCCTTTTTAGGTTCATTTGGACCTAGTGTCTTGCACAGTTGTCAGTGCTCTGGGTTCCTATGTGCTATCTATGGTCTACATATAAGCCTGTAGATAGGACTTCTGTTTCTGTATACTCTCCTCGTGCTGGACTGCCCTTGAACAGAGGTGGGCTAGACTGCCAGATAGAATCAGGCTGTCAAGTTGGTCAGGTGAAAATAAACTCATTTTGCTGTAGATGTACACAGCATCTGGAGCTGCATCTCCAGGGGTAAAAGGTGTGAGTGGAAGAGGTCACCCCTAGGTAAAACTACCAACCTCCCTTCCCACCCTTCCTCTGCTGACTGTGTTGCTCCTGGCACTGGGTTCTCCCCCCATCTTTTAAATTCAAAATTATGGTTGTTGCCATGGAAGGTCCAGGCAGACCACTGGCTTACATGGTCCTTGCTTGGTATCTTTCTTTCTCTTTACCTTAGGAGAAGTTCACGCCTGCTGTAGGGATGCCTCTCCAACAGCAGCTGGTCTGGGACACTTCTCCCTTTTCATGTCCCTTCTCCCAGATGCAGTTTTGAGAGAAAGAGCTGTAGGAAAAGAAGAGATAATGGATCTGTCTTTGGCCTGCTGCATGTCCTTGGGCATTAGCCCTTTGCATCTCCAGTCTAGATGTGTAATGTGGAGATGATGACAGGGGCTGCTTAGCAGCAAGATTGTAAAGAGCTCCTGTAACTGCAGCTGGGAGATGCTACAGAAAGGGGAGAGACACCTGTTTGCACACAGACCCTTTATGCTATCCGTCTTTGCTAGGGAAATTGTTCTTAGTTTTGATGTCAAACCTCTGACCAGCCTGTTCCTAGGCATGGACCCAGTTTTACTGAGTTGGTCCTGTGCTCTGTGGCCTTGGTTTGCATAGGAAGAGAGGACAAGGCTTTAACAGGGCAGAGGGACACCAGCATGGTGCCCCACTCAGTTATCCCAGGCCAGGTGTAACCTTTGGTGACCTGGAAGAGGAAAGGATGTGAGCAGGAGGGACCATTGTTCGTATGGCAGCAGTCTGAGATGGCACCAAATGGCATAGACCATTTCTCATTTTCTGGGACAGTAAGCGATATCATCAGGGCTCCCTTTTGGGTGAAAATCTGAAGCGATCTTTTTGCTCTGGCCATTCCCTGCATGTTACCCTCTACCACGACACCCCTTCCCACCTGCTAGGTGACTGGAGAGCACCTTCCAGCCCATGCCTTTCCAAGGAAGGTTACAACTGTCATGCATACATGCAGGAGAAAGAGGGAGAAACACTGGGAAGGAAGAGGAACTATTTGAAATAAATGGGAATTTGTATAAAATGACCGAGAATATCATTTGAGTGGAGAGCAAGCAGTTTACAGCAACTGGAGAAATGAGGTTCTGGTGTGGGCTTCCCACGGGGTTAGCTGAGCTTGGTGGAGCGTGATCATCCTTACCAGCTGGCAGATCGACGGGGACTCACCCTGCGGGCCTCTTTCAGTTTCTCCTGCTTTAGAAACCAAGTGCAAAGGCAGAGCAACGATGTTAGGTGCTGTGCAGTCCTTGACAATGCAGAGAGCTGTGCTTTGGAAGGAATAATTTGAATTTGTATGGCATAGGGGCTGTGCATGAACTGTACTTTCTCTCTAGAAGTGGTTGCAGACCATGAATAGATTTGGTTAACGTGCAGGGAGGAGTGTGAAGCCACCAAAATGCTAGATACCTAAAGACTGATACAGAAAATCACACTGGATTTGCAGAGTAGCATTTAATAAAGTCAGAGTGGGCCATGAAATGCCAGAGGGGGTGCGTTCAGTTTGGTTCAGAATATCTCAGAAAGATGCTGCAAATGTTATTGTTGTCCCCAGGGTTACAGTCACAATAGGACTAGGGAGACTGGAGCGTGAAAAGGAATTGGATAGATAAGAGACGTTTAGTTTAAAGAGTAGATGGATGAGAATGAGATGAAACAGAGACAAAAAGGAATAGATCAGAGAGAATAAATTGGATGGCTCTGTTCATCTTTTTCTCATAATGCAAGGACCAGGAGATATCTAGTAGTGCTGAGAACCAAGAAGATTGTAACTCATCTGAGAAATCAATTAAGGAAAAAAAACATGTCCCCTTCTTAGACAAAAGTGACCTCTGGTACTCTCTGCTACAGGAAGGACCAGAGGAGAGACAGGAAAAAAGAAAAAAATCAGGCATTTAGATGTGTAACAAGACTATCTCATGAGCGAGGAGCTTAGGCGAGGAATGCATCTTTTATGCTGTCCTTAGAGAAGGCTTTCCCTGGGGGGGGCTCCTGCTGTGTTGTCCACCTTGGGGCATCCTCCTGGAGCTCCTGGTGGTGAGCTGAGCTGTTGGGGTGCTGGGAGAGAGGCCCTGCTGTGGGCGCAGTGGCTGGGGTGGAAGAGTGGGTGCTGCCTCAGAGGCCTGACGTGCATTGTGGGTCATACCTGGACCCCCACCTAGCTGATGCTGTGCCCCTTCTTCCCAGGGACTGTGTGGCCCTCTGCTTCCTCAACAGTGGCACCAGCTTCGTGGCTGGCTTTGCCATCTTCTCCATCCTGGGCTTCATGGCGAGGGAGCAGGGTGTGCCCATCGCTGAGGTGGCCGAGTCGGGTGAGTGGGGTCCGCAGTGGGATGGGGCTGTGGGGGTGCTGCTGCTTGACCCCCCAGTGACAGGGCTATGCCTGCAGGGTATCCACCTTGGGGTGAGTGGTGTTGCAGTTGCAGGTTCCCATCCTGGAGGGCAGCTCTGCTCTCTGCCTCCAAAAACCAGGAAGAAACGAATACATGCTCATCAAATATTAAGATGCAATGGCTGTACCTTGAGGTTGATATAAGCTGCCTCTAAGGGCAAGGGTTAGGGTTGGGCAGCTGCTGTCTCTTGGTGGGGGAGTGAGGTACCTGCATGGCATACAGCCAGGCTTTTGCTGTGCTCCCCTGGGCACAGAGGCTTTCCCTGGGTCCCAGCTCTCATGATGGTGATGCAGCCAGTGCTTGCTGTGTCCCCTTTCCCTCCCTTCCTGCTGGGCTCCTCCACCCCTCCAGGAGCCTGGGTTTCACGGATTGTGCTGGTATAACTGGAGTAAGAGGCTGCATGTCTGCAGGCTGTGCCTTGGCTGGGTGGCTGCCTCAGGCAGGTCTGCACTAGTTGTGCCATGCTGCTGCCATGCCGTTGCCTGCTCTGAAAGCCCTTCTCCCTGCAGGGCCTGGCCTGGCATTCATCGCCTACCCTCGGGCTGTGGTCATGCTGCCTTTCTCCCCGCTCTGGGCATGCTGCTTCTTCCTGATGGTTGTTTTGCTGGGACTGGACAGCCAGGTAAAGGCGCAGGTGCAGGGCAATTCCCTGCCAGACAAAAGTCACCATCTCTTCGGAACAGGCTTGAACTTGGCAGGTTGGGGGGTGGTGTGGGACTGAGGAGCTGGTCAGGATGGGTTGATGGAGGTGGGAACTCTGCTCTTTCAGTTTGTCTGCGTGGAGAGCCTTGTCACAGCTCTTGTGGACATGTACCCCACCATCTTCCGCAAGAAGAACCGCCGGGAGACCCTCATCCTGCTGGTCTCTGTCCTCTCCTATCTGGTCGGGTTGGTGATGCTCACAGAGGTATTTTGGGCTCAGACCACCTGTGCGGCACTTGCTGGGTCTGAGTTGCCCCCCTGACAGAGTGGGACCTGGTGGGTGGTGGGGTCTGTGCTTGGGCCAAGAGCTTGCTGGTGAGGCCCATCCTGCCGCACAGTGCCTGGGGGAGGCTGCCCTTCCCTCCTCGTGGCGTCTGTGTTTTCCCTTCCAGCCCTCGCCCCTTGTGCCAGTCACAGTCCTGAGACTTCTCCTACCAAGACTGGAGCTCTGGACAGCCCACGCTTTGGTTATAGATTTATCTTTACACCAGCCAAACCTTTACAGCTGTAGCCTGTTGTACGGTGAGAGGAGCACCTTTGTCCTTCTCTTTTCTCCTGGATGGAGCTACGTGAACACTTGGTGTAAGGAAACTTGGTGGGCCTGAGTGTGCCCCATATCTATTACACTGATTTCCTATATATTCCCCTTGTTGTGATTAATTGCCTGGGAGTTCAACTGTTCTGGTTTAAAACCTTTAACTCCTCTTAGCAGTACGTGTGTGGGGATTGATGCTGCTGTGATGCTCTCTGCATCTTCTGCTTTCATTTGGGCATAATTTAGAAAAAGCTGCCTTCGATGTTGCACCTGCAGCTTTGTGCCCGGACTTCCCTGCAGGCCCATTCTGCAGACAGCCCTGCAGACCTGGGCAGTGAAGCTGCCAGCCTCTGGGCCCACAGCAACAGCTGCTTGCAAAACTGCATGCACAGATACTTCCCTCTGCAAATTAGGAGACTAAAGTAAATCAGATGTGTTGTGTCCCTTAAGGGAGTTTCCACTCTCACTTCCAGCTACAAGAGTTGCTTTGATTTTGCCTTCTAAAATATTCCCACGATCTCTGGCAGTCACCTGCCCTGCCCTGGAGTGAAAGGTTGCAGAAACTCCTGAGAGCAGGATGGCTGCATGTCTCCATCAGGCCATGAGCACAAGGGATGTGGCCTGTGCTGTTGGCTAAAACCCTGCCCCAGAGAGAGGAAGGTGCCTCCAGCTCTGGGGAAGATGTTGAGTTTCTTTCCTGCTCTGGCTGGAGCTCTTTGCCTGTGCCTGACTCCTCTCCCCTTTCTCCCTCCCCACCTTGCCTTGCTGCCTACTTGACCCTTCCCAGGGTGGGATGTATGTCTTCCAGCTCTTTGATTACTATGCTGCCAGTGGCATGTGCCTGCTCTTTGTGGCCATCTTTGAGACTCTCTGCATCGCCTGGGTCTATGGTGAGTATGAACCAGAGGTGGTTCCCAGCTCTGGTCTCTCAGGTTCTCGCTTGGTCCATCCTCAAAATGCTGGTCTGTAGTCCATCCTGGCCATTGCTTCGCATTGCAAGGCAGACCTCTAAACCCTTGCTTTGGTGCCCCTGGACTCAACTGGCAGGGGCTTCCTCACAGCAAAGCCCTGGGGGATCTGCTTGGCAGATATCCCCAGCATGTTCCTGTGTGGCCCTGCTTTTGAGGCCCTCCCTCCTTGGCAACTTGGAGCTGGCTGGGAAATCTTTTCCCAACCTGTGTATAGAGGAGTCTGAGACCCTCAAGCGTTTTTGAGAGCCCTCTCTCAGCCTTGACATTCACAAGGGATAGGTAAAACCTGGGCTCAGGTCCCAGCCTGGGTTCAGGTCCCAGCCTGGGAGATGCTGAGGGGCTGGTCCTGCTGACCCACTGGGCTGTTCTGGGGCAAAAGGACGTTAGTCCAGGACAAAGACTGAAGCTGGCCACACTCCTGGTGAGCTCGCCACCAGGGCTGTCGGCTATGCTGAGATGACTCCCTCATCTTCTGGGGAGCACCCAAGCAGCGGTGAAGCAGAACCCCAGACATGCAGACCCTGCTGCCCTCCTTTGCTGGTAGCAGCGAGACATCCTTCCATTCTTCTGCAGGCGCTGAGCGGTTCTATGATAACATTGAAGATATGATCGGCTACCGACCATGGCCCATCATCAAATACTGCTGGCTTTTCATCACCCCGGCGGTTTGCATGGTGAGGGCCCACAGGAAGAAGAGCTGTGAGGCGGAAGATGGGCAGAGCTGGGTGCCTCTGAGTTATAGATACCTACATAAATACAGAGGGATGTGCATATGTATAGGGGGTCATGTGGCCTGTACTATGGGAGCCTGTTGTTCTGTGTGTTTGTGGCTTTGGGGGCAAGGCGTGGGGCTAAACAATGGGGAGAGGGGCGCAGCTTAGTAGTGACAGAGGTGTCTGCTGGTGGGGCGAGCTCCTTGGTGCCATGCCCAGTGCTGCACATAGGGGCTGTCCCAGCAAAGCTTGCTTGACTGGTGTCTCCTCTGTTGCTGTCCTGGGGGAGCTCTTTGTTACCATGAGACTGTGCAGGTGTGGACTCACCAGGAAGACCTCTCTTGGTTCATGGTGTTGATTTTCTTGCTCTTTTTCTTTTGATCTCTTCCATCTTGCCAGGCAACTTTCCTGTTTTCTCTGATCAAATACACCCCGCTGACCTACAACAAGAAGTATGTGTACCCATGGTGGGGAGACACGCTGGGCTGGCTGCTGGCCCTCTCCTCCATGGTGTGCATCCCTCTCTGGATCGTCTACAAACTCTCCACCATCAAAGGCTCCCTCAGAGAGGTGAGGCTGGTGCTCTGGGATCAGGGCATGAGCTGTGCTTTTGTGTTGAAGTCCAGCCTTACAGGGGGATCATTTGTGTGTGCAGGTTAATTAGCAGGGGGCCTAGAATAAATTGATTGAGTCTGTCGCTATAACAGACTTTTTTTTTTTAAAGTTCTGCCTGGCTGGAGGGCTGCCCAAAGCTGACTGTTGCCTCTTGGTGCCCTTTACTTATTGCTTCTGTCTCTTTGCAAGCGCCATTAGGAAAAAGTTCATTAGATGGAGAGGATAAAGATGATCTCCAGTGCCTCGAGTTAGTTTGGAGGCTGCCCTTGACTGAGGCTCAAGGACTTGCTCTGAGAAAGCTCCAGATAGTTGTGGGCAGCTGAGGTCCTCAGTCTATGCTGAGGCCATGGGGATGGAGTGGAGGGGATCACTGGGAGTTTGGAGTTTCCACCACAGCCTCAGTGCCCTGGGCCTGCCCAGCTCCCAGAGCTGCTGTGATCCATTGCTGGCTGCCCTGGATGTGCGTTGGCAGGGCGGGGAGCTGGCAAACCAGACCTTGCTCCAGACAGGTATCCTGTCCCTGCCGTGGCTCATGGTTTCAGGGGGAGGTTTCACAAACAGTCCTCAGCCCCCAGGATCCCACCCATTCTCTGCTTCCTGCAAGTGCTCAAGAACAGTTTGTGACAGCAATGGGCCCCGACCCCTGTGTCCAGCACAGACAGGGAGGAGTGGGCACAGCTGCAGGAGCATGGCAAGGGCCACACTGCCTGATGCAGAGGGTAACCCCTTGTGCGCTTGCTGTCCAAGTTAAAGCCAAACCTGTATGCACAGGCTCTCTCTTTGCAGTCTGTGCTGATGGAGGCGATGACCTGGAGGGACTTGGGCACTGACCTTTCTTTGGACTGCTTTCTAGCCCTGGCCTGGACCAAATGGAGGACGCAGCTTTCCTACTGTGTCTCAGGTCTCTCATGTGCTCACTGCTTATCTTGGGACAAGTGGTTGAAAGATGAGTTTATCCCCTCAGTTTCTGAAGTGCTGACTGTCCTTAGTTGGGACATCTCTGACATCAGGGGACCAGACCTGCAGCCCTGTCTGTCTGTCTGAATGATACCCATGACTGGAAGGGGAGGGTCCAGGTCACCTTTTGTCCTTGCAGCTGTGTTCAATGCCTGCCTTTGCCTTCCAGAGGCTCCGCCAACTCACCTGCCCACTTGAGGAATTGCCTTCCAGGCCGGGCACAGGACAGCCCCTTCCCTCCACCAGAGCTGGCCTCCTGATGCTGACAGAGCTCGAATCTCATTGCTAGGACCAGTGTGGCTCTCCCTCCCTCACCCCGGGACAGTTTCTATACAGCCTTTACCACCTGTTGAATAGCGCAAGGATTCTTCACTCACCAAGGAGAGAGGGATTTCTGGGCTGCGCTCCCTTCTCTGGAAGATTTGAAGGGCTGAGGAAGAGGCTGCTGTGGAGGTGGTCTGCACAGAGCTAGCAATGCACCTTAATCCTCTCCCTGGAGAGGGCTCTGAAGGGGCAGATCAAGCACTGGTGTTCCTGAGCATCCCCAGCCTTCTGGTGGGCAGAAAGGAAGGACTGATCCTGGAGTGGAGAGTGTCAGAGAGTCTCAGAGGTGTGGCTCTGGTGTGGACTTTGGGAGCTTCTCCATTCATTCCATTAAATCCTTGTTTTTCCCCTCTAGATCCACTCTGTCTCAGTTTTATTTCACCAGCATCCCTTGCTCACAGCATGTGAGGCAGGATGTGCGTTAGCGGTGCTGTGCTGGGCATTCAGGTCTGGATCTCTGGCACATCAGTATGGCAGGGTGGCCAGAGGAGAAGCAGCTGGTTAGGGTAGGAAGGAAAACAGGGAACACCGGTTTGGAGGCCCCTGTAGGTAGTAGACCTGGGGTACCTATGTAAAGTGGAGAGTGCAATGCCATCGTCTGCTGGAGCCATTGCCAGCTCCCAGCCAAAAGAGTCATCTGGCGGATGAGTCACTGGGCTATTCCTGGGGTCTGAGAGAAGCGCTTGGCGTTGCGTTCACTTGGTGCAAGTCAAGGATCGTAGGAAATTCTCTCTCATCTCTGCAGGTCTGTGTCTTTTTCGTGCTGACTTCCTTCCAGGTGCACTAGAGCCAGTCATCTTGGTTATCCTGCATATGGAAGAAGGGCTGCGTCATTGAAGCGGGATCTGGCTTATGTCAACAAGCAGGGCCCCTCGTTTCCAGGCTGTTTGGGTAAAAGAAAGAAAAATCAAAGAGCTTTGTGTTTTAAGTGCTGTAGCCCTAGCATCCGAGGAGGGCAGCCAGAGGACACATAACCCCGGGAAGCTGGATGGCTCCCAGGAAACCCTGGGGAACCCCGAGCCCGGGCAGAG